ACTGCTCGTCCACTCATTGCCCAGGCTTAGATCCAGGTGCGGTTCTAGGTGTCTTCTGGTCAATGGGCCCATTATTTGTGATACAGATTTTTAATTTCAAAATATGGGATAGTAGGTAAAGGTAAGAAGAGTCTATCAGTGGCATAGGTGAATTGGGCCAATGAGTCATTTTTTTTTTTTTTTAGTTGTAGAAAGACACAATATCTTTATTTATTTTTATGTGGTGCTGAGGATCGAACCCAGTGCTTCACATGTGGAAGGCAAGTATTCTGCTACTGAGCTATAGCCCAATCTGCAATTAGTCATGTTTTTACAATGATTTACTATAAACTTTCTTTGCTTACTATGTTTCTATTGCTCCTTACTCCATTGAAAAAAGATCTTCTTCCTGTATTGCATTCCCAGTTTAGTCCCTTATTGCAAATTAGCCATTAGTAGTATTGCTGTTTGAGTGGGGTGTGGTAGTACACACCTGTAATCCCAGAGACTTGGAGGCTGAGACAGGAGGATCATGAGTTAGAGGCCAGCCTGGGCAATTCAGCGAGACCCTGTCTCACACTAAATAAAGAGGGCTGGGGATGTGGCTCAGTAGTAGAACACCCCTGGGTTCAGTCCCTAGTACCCAAAAGAGAAAAGAGCAGAACTACCACATGGTCTAGCAGTCCCACCTTGGGTCTCGGAGGAGTGTTTGCATCCCATGTTCATGGCAGCAGTGTTCACAGTAGCCAAGATGCAGGGACTACCTAGACATCCACAGGTGGATGAAGGGGTACAGAAAGCATGGTACACGTGTGTGCGCATGCACGCACACACACACACACACACACACACACACACACACACACACACACACACACAGAGGGATGCTATTCAACCTCAAAGGAGAAGGAGATCCTGACATGCATGTATGACACCATGGATGGATCAGGGGGACATTGTACCACAAGGTATGAACCAGTATTTTCAGGGCAAATTGTGAAGTTTTGTTTATGTGAGGACTCTAAAACAGTCAAGTTAATAGAAGCAGAAAACAGAATGACSGTAGCCCGGAATAGGGGAGGGAGGGGAATGTTTCTCAGTGGGTAGAGAGTTTCTGTGATTCAGGATGCGCAAGTTCTAGATCTGCTGTAGAACACGGTTCCCCTGGTTGACAGTACAGGATGGTATACTTTAAAACAGGTGAGGAGGATACTTCTGTGTTCTTACCAAACCAAAGCACATGGGGGTGTTTGTGGGTGGTGGGTGAGCTCAGTGCTTGGGCCCTGGACCTGGCATCACAGGTGTCCAGACTCATCAAAGTTCTGCATATCAGCTGCATCTCAATCAAGCAGTTTACAAAATGTGAGTTTAGGTTGAAATATAATCTAGATTAAGTGGCCAATATTTTAGTAATCCTTAATAATATTTCTGTAAAAATTACCAAGAAAAGCATTATTTCACTTTGTACTTTTTTTTTTCTAGGGAAAACAACCTCTTCATAAGTAATTCAGTAATTTAATGTTACAAAACAAATTGGATTACCCATCTTTTAGCCAATGTCTGCACAATCTGTAATTTGATATCAAGTAGCATTTAAACGAAAATTATTTTTTAATCAATCTAAATATACTTGAATGTGTTTATAACTTCCAACTGAGAGAAATTGGGAATCTGTGTGTGTGTGTCTGTGTGTGTCTATGAATGTGTGAACTATAAAAACATAGGAGACTAGAGCAGGGAATATTTTTCCCACCTTTTTTTGTATCATGAAATTTCCTTAACATGCCTTTATTTATACAGCAATCCAGAGAAGCTTTAAGCCGTCACAAAATTTATGCCCTGCCATCCCCAGTCAGCTGTGTTGGCTTGAAGATCAGTTCTTGGAAACTGAATCAAAATGGCACCATAAGGCATTTCCCTGGTGGGAAAACCTGCAGCGAGGGGCTGAGCCAGGATGCCCAAGTGGGGATGTGCAGGTGGTGCTGGCACAAACAGAGAAGGGAAGGGTGGTGAGGTCCAAGGAGCAGCCACAGAGTGTGCTGAGATCAGGCGGATGCCTTGGGACAGACCAAGCAGCTGTGAGGAAGTTCCATTCCTCTTGAGCTGTGTATGAACACTTCAATGTTCTCAAACAACTTATTTGTTGGGGTGGTATTCTTTTCTTTGTTTGTTTGTTTGTGTTTTTTTTTTTTTGTAGTTGTAGATGGACAGGATGCATTATTTTATTTGTTTTTTATTTATATGTGGTGTTGAGGATCGAATCCAGTGCCTCACCCAAGCTAGGCAAGCGCTTTGCCACTGAGCTACAAACAGCCTGAGCCCTGGGGTGGTATTCTTTAAAAGAATTTTTAAAATGGCATGCCCTCAGCATTTTAGTAGCAATCTAATACTAAATGTCCAATTTGTATCTTACTTGTAAAAACCTGCAAAGGATTTGATTTCTGACATATGTGTATGTGACCCTTCAAATAAAAACAGTAACATCGTTCTTTGGTATCCAGTGGAATATAAATATAGTGATTTGATTCTCTTTTCTATCCATTCAAAAATATATAAACAGAAAACACTCTTTGTCCTACAGACATTGTATAAGGTTCTTTTCTCCATGAAATTGGGCAACCCTGCCCCTACTGGTGGCCTAGGAAACAGTATTACTGTACCTTTCAGCTCCACCTGTGCCAGTCCCACCCTCCTCACTTCACCATGCCAAAGTAAAAGCCGCCTTGAGTTTTTCATAACTTTAGAACAAGTTACATCCTTAAATGACAGTTTTGTCTATTTTTAGAAATCTACTCTTGGAAAGTAAGTATTCTCTCTTAGGTTCTTTGGTTACTTGTGATTTCTTTTCAGTATTACTTTTGAAGTTCATTTCTCTTGATGCAAGTAGCTGAAGTAACTCATACTTATTTTGTTCTATAATATTTATCAGCCAGACTCTGTGGCGCATGCCTGTAATCCCAGTGGCTCGGGAGACTAAGGCAGGAGGTTTGTGAGTTCAAAGCCAGCCTCAACAAAAGTGAGGTGCCAAGTAACTCAGTGAGACCCTGTCTCTAAATAAAATACAAAATAGGGCTGGGGGTGTGGCTGGGGCAGTGGTTGAGTGCCCCTGAGTTGAATCCCTGGTACCCGCCTCCCTCAAAAAAAAATTAAATTGTATTGATATCCAGCTTGTTTTTTATTATATTGATACTGTCTGTTTTCTGTTGATGTCACCGAATAATTTATAAAGAAGAAAAGTTSGTTCAGCTCACAGATCTAGAGGCTAGAAAGTAGAAGGGCCTTGCCTGGTGGGGGCCTTCTTGCTGGTGGGAACTATGGAGTCCTGTGGTGGTGCCAGGTGTCCTGTGGAAAGAGTGCTAAAGAGAGCGCGAAGCTGGCTTTTAGAGCAGTTCACCCATGAGTGGGTTCCTCCGTCCACAGGGGCAGAGCGGCAAGGCCCAGTCACCCCTTAGAAGCCCACTGGAGCCCACTGGACGCCAGGGCACCAGCCGGCACTGGAGTTGGAGGAGGACAGTCAAACCCGCAGAACCCTTTCTAGTCTGCTCTTGGAGATCCGGCGGCTGTGGATACTCCTGCGTTTCTTTGATACAGTCAGGGCTGGAACTCGTGCCCAGAGGCAGGACAGTGCTGTTCAGTCCTCCCCCTCCTCTTCCCTCGGTTTCCATCAGTGAGCGGCATGCCCTGTGGAGTTATTCTTGCCTGTTGTTCTCTTGGGTGATGGCTTTTCTTATTTTTTAAAGGAGGTCTGGGAGTTCTGTTACAGCAGTGTAGACGTGTGCTAGTTTCTTCTCTCAGAAAATATATTCACCAACAAATGCATTAGTAACTGTGTATCATAGGTACAACTTTAAATTAATCTTTCATTTTGCTTAGGGTGGCTTTTAGTAAAGTGGGATCCTTTATTTATTTTGAATTTATCAATATTTTTATATATAGCTTATCCTCTCTTTGTATTGTTTTAGTAATTTTTTCCTAAGTTGAGATTTTATGAATAGTTTTCCTGTAATTCAAACTTAAAAAAAATCTTTCAAATTTTATAGTTATGTTTATTAATTTATTAGAAATTGAGTTTCAAATATAGTCTTAGTTTAAAATATTTTAGTTTATTAGAAAGTTTTTTGGATCTGTATGTTTTTAAAAAGTCATGTGCCATTAAAACAAAATATGAAATATGACAAAAGTTAAGTTTTCCTTCTACTTCTGATTTCCATTTTCTGTTCTCTGTTAAGAAGAGAAGAACTGTACTTTTTACTTCTATAAGAGGCGAAAACTTTGTCCTTGGGTTTCTGCTAATCATTTAACCTTGTGATTCTCTTGGCAATACTTTACCAATTTAAAGAGAATATTATACTCTTAGAAAGGAGGAAATGTTTAGGGTGCTTATTTCCTACTTGGTGTTCATGACATCGTTTTTGACCTGCCAGTCAGTGTGATCTCCTGAACTGACTTGGTTGGCTTGGAGGTGGCTGGTCCTGTGCACAGCTCTGGGTGCGTTGGGGAGGGAGGCRGAAGTCACCCCTCCTTGAGGACCTCTGGAGTCCTGCAGTAAGTGCTTCCTAGTGCAGATGCATGTTGTGATCTCTTCTGCTGTGACCTCCACACCTTCCAGGGGTCCTGCCAGAGCAAGAACCCTGGCTTATTTTGGAGAAGGGAAGGGGCCCATCCACATGGACAACGTGAGGTGCACGGGCACAGAGAGGTCCTTGGCCGACTGTGTCAAGCGAGACTTCGGGAGACACAACTGTCGACATGGCGAAGACGCAGGGGTCATTTGTGATTACTCTGGCACAAAGACCTCGGGCAGCAGTAGTGCAGGTGAGTTACCTCCTGGGACCCAGAGAGTCCGCACAGATGAATGCCAGAGACCCATCAAGCTTGTCTGCTTGCACATTACTGTCATTTATTTAAGTGAGAAAACTTGCCTTTTATTATCATAAAAAGTTTCCTATAATTTGCAGAGAAAAAGAATGTTACAGTGGAGAAGAAAGTAGTAGGGGAATATGTCATGTAGCTTTTTTTTTTTTTACCCCTTTAGCAGTGTGATATCTAATTAATGATCTAATTTGTTAGCTTTTCCACTGCTGCAACCAAAAGACCTGACAAGGAAAAGTTCTTTGGCTCAGAGTTGCAGAGGTCTAAGTCCATAGAGGGCCGGATCCATATTCTGGGCCCTCATGGTAGGGGGTGTGGAGAAGGAGAGGGCAGGACAGGGCATGGAAATCAGGAAACAGAGAAGGAGAGAGCTCTGCTCACCAGGGTCAAACTCTACCCCCAATGGCAAGCCCCAGTGACCAGCTCCTCCAGACACACCCACCTGCCTACAGCCCGCACCTGGTAACACCTGTCAGGGGATTATGCACTGATTGGGCTCAGACTCTCAGACTCTGGTGTTTCACCCCCAAGCCTTCCTGAACTATCTCACAGGAGCTTTGGGGTCCCCTCATCTAAACCAGAATACCTACTGGCTTACATGTCTCCCCCTCTCGGCAGCATGATTGAATTAATGGCCTGTTTCTGCTGCAGAGCCCCTCTCGGCTGTTTGTGGTCTGAGATTGTTGCACCATCGGCAGAAGCGCATCATTGGTGGAAAAAATTCTTTAAGGTAAAAGGTTCTTCAAAGGAGATTCTCCACATTATAGAGTGCCAACTTGTGTTCTTCTGCTGTTACATGGGAATTGTTCTATGCATTTTATTTTCTAAACTAAGTACTCTTATATTGTTAACTGCCCTGTCCTTTACCTACGTTTGATTGATATAGACCATGTTCTTACATCATGATCCTATGATTTATGTCATAGATGTGTTGCTGAAAAGTGGCATGATAGAAACAAAATAATGCATTTGATTTAGAATAATGTGTCTGATGTGGCTGGTTTCATTGTAAATCTTTGGTGGCCGAGTGCAGGCCAGCACTGTGTTGACTAAGTAGGTCTTCAGCCTGCTGGGGTTAGGGGGGTGGGGAGAGGGCTGTGCTCACACCCCCTGTGTCCCAGAATGCTAGGCAGCTGGCTGGCATCTACCGCCTGCCTTTGGCGCCTCCCCAGGCTGCTGCTACTTGGGAAACCTTCTCCAGGTTGGAGGAAGCTGGCCTCCTTCCTCACACCACAGGCCATCAGAGCCATCACTTTGAGGCTTTTCTTTGGATCTTTTGTCTTTTATGGGCCTGTGGCTCCCTCTGTTTCAGGGGTGGCTGGCCCTGGCAGGTTTCCCTCCGGCTGAAGTCACCCCATGGAGGTGGCAGGCTCCTGTGCGGGGCAACGCTTCTCAGCAGCTGCTGGGTCCTGACGGCCGCTCACTGCTTCAAGAGGTATGTGTCCATCCTTGTCAGCACCCTCCTGCTTCTGGGGCCTGGTGTCAGAGCTGGGCTGTGAGCCTTCTCTGATGGGTGCTTCTTCAGCTTGAGGGAGTGAGGGGTGACAGAAGGAGCACCTTGCAGGCTCRTGTGACATGAGACCTGGGTCTGGGGAGAAGAGAGCACGGGCTTTGCCAGGGAGGCAGCTGTGGCCATGCTTTCCCAGGTGAATCACAGCCTGTGGATATAAAAGCTGCTGTGTCAATAAAGACACTCAGGAGCAGGCGTGCAGTTCTGGCAGCTTAGACGCTTCTTTCTTCTTGCCAGACCAAACACTCCGCCTTATTCAAGGCTGAGAGAGGATGCTCAGCTATGGGCGGGCGGCCTCCTCATTGAGYGGCTTCTGTCTTCTTGGTGGTTTGTCTGAGAGTTCTCTGTTTGTACCTTCTAGAAAGGCAGGCTGCATCCATTTTATCCTTGGCCTTCATGCTGGTTTAGTCCTGATTATTTCCTCTTATTTCCAATACTTCATTAGTCAATCCTATCTTCCTTGTTCCAAGGGGAGACCCTGCAGGAAACCTGCAGGAGGACTGACTCCTCTCCTCTCATCCAGGGCTCTTTGTGGGCTCTAGAGGGTGGCCATTGCCTCAGCATGTACTTTGGGGTGTATTTAAAATATACACTAAACCTGGCAAAATGTTGATGATCACTGAAGCAAGGTGATGTCAATGAGGTGTTTGGTTATACTCTTAACTTTGTGTGTTGGAAAAGTGTCATAATAAAAATCTTAAAAAGAATATGCATTGTATGGTTGATGATTTCTTCCAAGCAAAATTTTGCTTTACATTTTTTTTTCTTTCACACTGGGGATTGAACCCAGGGGCGCTTACCCACTGAACTCCCCAGCCCTTTTTATTTATCTATTTTTTAATTTTTGAGACAGGGTCTTGCTGAGTTGCTTAAGGCCTCAAAAAATTGCTGAGGCTGGCTTTGAACTTGCAATCCTCCTGCCTCTGCCTCCAGAGCTGCAGGGACTACAGGTGTTTTCCACTGTGCCCAGCTGACATTTTTTTTCTCACATGCCCTCATAAGGCATGTACCTTTGCAGACTRCTGTGTAGATTTTGTTCATTCACTTCAGCTGCCATATGAACTTTCACTTCTGCTGTAAAACTTATCCAGTTTATTGARTCCCGTATGGATGGATAGTGAGGTGATTTCCATTGATTGACTGCTAAAGCACCATTCAGTAGAATACGCAGTGTGCCGTGTCTCACCAGGGCGCGTGTGGGAGCCTCGTGCTGGGTCCTGAGGTGCCAGGCTCCCTTCAGTTCTGTGAGGCCCTGCCAGGTATCCTCGAGAGAAACTGGATTCGATTCATTCACGACACAGCACCGTGGATGGTTCTGCCTGCTCTTTCCGCTTGAACCTGATACTACCAGAAATTTTAATTTTTGCTAATTTTAGAGATTTGGAGTTTCTTTTAAATTGCATTTCCCTGATTATTGTTTCCCTCTTTCATGAACTCTACTGTTCATGTCCTTTGCCRATTTTCTATYGCATTATCTTTTTTTGTAGTTGACTCAAACATTATTCTGCAAAGTCATTTCTGATATGTCCAGAACTTTTCCCAGTCTGGACTATCCCTTTTACTTGTTTATGGTTCTTTTCTTATGAAAATATGTCAATTTTTAAAAAGTCTCATTTTCCTTTAAAGTTTGTAAAAGCTTTACATATCTCATTTTAAAAATCTTTCCCTAGACTCACATTAATAAAGATATTTTTACTTTTTTCTAAAAAATTTATAGTTTTGGGCTGWCGTTGTGGCTCAGCAGTAGAGTGCTGGCGCAGCACGTGTGGGGGCCCTGGGTTCAATTCTCAGCACCACATAAAAATAAATAAACAAAATAGGGTATTTGTCCATCATAACTAAACAAAATAGAGAATTTATAGTTTTGCTTTTAATATTTAGACTTTCAATCTGTTAAGTTTATTTTTGTGTATGGCATGTGGTGTGAGGAAGGGGCCGACTTTCACACTCTTCTTTGTGGATAGTCTTCCCAACACTTTTCTTTTTTTTGAGTGTTCCATTATTTACCCACTGGTTTATGTGAACTATGTCATATATCAAATTCTCATATATTCTTGTTTCTAGGATCTCTAGTCACTTCCACTTATCTGTTTCAATAAATATTTTTGAAGTAATCTGTTCAAGGTGGTTGCCAAAAATATAAATCTACATTTTATATCATATTTGTCTGGGATATAATTGAGTGTGAGAATGMTGCTGCATACCAGTGGGCTTAACGCATTCCTGTGTGACCTGAGTAGCACAGGTAATAAAGATTATATTTGTTCATTAACTTAAACAATTATTGAGCCCCTGAGGCCCAGTAARCGCTGTGCACTCGTGGTGCAGTGGAGTCTGAGACAGGTAAAGTTCTGCTATCGTGGAGTGTATGATGTGGCTGTAGAGTCCAGAGGAGGGAGACATCTATGTTGCTTATGACCAGCAAGTGCATAGGGCCCACAGGAGTGCTTTTGTCACTGTGCAGTACTACACATTAGGCGTCGAGGTTCCTGGGTGCCTACTGCACAGCCACAGGAGCTCTGGGGCTGGCACTTGATCAGTCATCTCCGGTTCCTTTGGGCTCCAAAGCTAAGAACAGCTTGCTCCGTGGAGAGACTAGAATATGATCTGGACCTTGGGAAGAATGTTATGGAGCTGACGGATGCTGCCTGTTCAGTACCCCTGATGCTAGACTGAGAAAGGCTCCCTGGGTAAATTAATTATAGTCTGTGTGCCAGAAGGCTGGGAGAGATGAGTGATGTGAATGTCTGAAGACAGACTCACGGTGCTGCAGATTTGCTAGGCCCATTCTAATAAGCAACATGGAATAAGGATGAGCACAGCGCCTCCTTCAGTTCAGGAAGCTTGGCTTAAATACAGCACATGTGGAAGACCTCGGAGCTTTGATGTCCTGCAGCCCTGATACAAGTCAGCAGTGCAGTGAGTTTGCTGCACAATTAACTCAGCCTGGGCAGCACTCTCAGAGCAGAGCTGCCTGGTCTTACCCTGCTCTAGCTGCTGTGAGGACAGCATGTCTCGTAAGGGAGAACTGTGCTCAGTGAGGGGTGCGGCATGGTGAATCTTGAAGGACAGGCAGGTACAGAGGGGAGATTTGTAGTTATTTTGTGTTTAACACTAGGACAGTTCAAAGATGGAATGAGCTATATCTGTGGGAGGAAAATGATTTTGTTATGGGATCTGTTTTAACAAAGAGGCTGGATTTGTGTAGCAGTAGAGGCTGGTGATGGACAATATCCAATGTTAGAGTGTAGTGGTGAGAGACATGAGCTGCATTGGAAGAAGAGCAGAGTTTGGCACTGGTATTGTGAGTTAGGGTATCAGAACTGGGAAGTATGTGGTACTGTGAACTGGGTTATCCTGTCTGGTATGGTATGGTATGGTACTGTTAGCTAGGTTGTCAGACCTGGGATGTATCTAGTGACTTAGAGGAGACAAGGGAAAAGACTTAGGATGTTAAGGCTGTAGATTTCTGTTTCATTCACTAGGCCATGGGAGATCAYGGTTTTCTGAACCTTGAAATTTGATTAAGAGGTGTTTGTGGAGAAGAGTCATTTGGAGATGTGAGAGACAGGTCTCAGGTTGGACAGACACCTAAGGGTGTGACAGTGAGCTTGAAATGATACGAAACATCTTTGCAATGCACCTGTATGCCTTTTTGTGCCATGACTCAATCTGTTTTACCAAGCAGAAGGCCCACTCAGTAAGAGCAGGAAGGACTGCATGTGAGAGTCCAGGTCTGAGTTTATTCCAAAGGAAGAACAGTGATGAGGCTGTTGTAATAGTGAAAATGAAAGGTAGAAAGCAAAGAGGTTATCCATCGGTAGTAGGTGGCTCACGAGCCCATCCTCTGTGTTGCATCRCTTAGTTCTTTGAACTGGTTCAGTTTAGGATCATCCATCAGGAGGCCAGAGCCTAGGTGGGCTACTAGGATGTTTGAGCATCTCACAACCTGGAGAAACGGGAGGTTGTATTTTAAATAGGCAGTCACCAGAAAACTCACAAGCTTCTGAACACACCCTAATCAGTGCACATTCAAGAAGAGGTCTTGTGAATAGTGGAAGCCTCACAAGCTTCTGTCAAAAACCGAGGTGAGGGTTGTTAAGTGTATACTTTTCTCTGTAAGCATTTGATGCAGCATCAAGTGTGTGGAGAGTCGATGAAGCCAGGGTTGCAGTGGCCGGCACAAGGAAAGGACTGTCGTCATGCAGAGGAGTGACTGTGGGAGTGGACAGCAGGGTCCAGGCAGACGGGGAGGGAGTCACACGGGCAGCACTGAGGGGGAGCCTGAGTGTGCTGGAGACCCGATGCTCAGTGTGCTGTTGGCTGTGGAGCTATAGAGGGAGGGGCAGCGGGTAGATACGGGGCTGGACAGAAAGGTTTAGGAAGCAGGTAGAAAGGGGAGCAGCGGGCAGAACGGGTGTGGGGCTGGCAGGAAGGTTTAAGGAGCAGGTGGGGGGAGGGCTAGATGTGAGCTGCCAGGCAGGACGAGGTGAACACACTCATTGCATATCGTGAGAGGGCTGAGAATGCAGGCATGAGGTGTGCTGCACGGGTGGCTGAGGCAAGAAGCATGCAAGGTGCTGGGACTCTCAGTGAGCAAAGCCAGTGCCCAGGGCACCAAGCAGCATCTGAGCAGCATCTTGCTCAATGGGGCTTCTTTCACCTCAGGTGACATCTGACAGTATTTGGAGGCTTTTTTTGGTTTTCACAGCAGGGAATAGTGGGTATATGCACTGATGGATCTAGGGAATAGGACCAGGGAAGCTTGTAAACACCCCTTGATGCAGTTGCCTTTACCACAAAGAATTATCTGGCCTAAAATGTGAAGTGTTGGCATCAAGAAATCCTGCTTTAGGTTGATGTGTCAGAATCAAGGTGTGTTGATTAAAAAACAGGCTGAGAGTTTTCAATTTAGTGAATTTTGTGTTTCTATTTGAATCAAAAGAGCTTTATGGGGAGGCAGCTAGCACCTCGTTAGAGGGCTCTTCTTCCTGCTCAGGAGGATGTAAACCACCTAAGAAATTAAAGTCTAGGATAATTCATAAAGAACAAAGACATAGAGTCAGAAAAAATAGTTTTAAAGGATGGAACCCCTGATAGGTCCAATCCACACAGGAGCTGGAGGTAGACAACTAGAAAATGGCTCCTGTGGTTTATTTAAGGGGGTACATCAAAGGCAGGGATAAGGTTTCAGGAGTGGAGTCTTGCTTCTGATGTCTTGCTCTCAGCAGGTTGATTGGCATCTTGGCAGATCACACCCATCTCTGAGAGGCTGTGTGGCCAGGTGGTTGTAGCAGGTCACCCTTTCTTGGGTGCTGTGTGGGACCAGGCAGAGCGGAATAGAAATTTACATGTATTTGGGCAATCTCACTCTGTAGGACTCATGGGAAGTTCCCGAACACCAGCTGTTTCTATTCACAGGGGCTGCCATGCCGACGTAGTCCACACACAGCCCACGGATGGCTCTTGACATAGCTTCTCATGGAATAAAGAATGCCCACACCAAAGGTGAACATCCGTCCATTCACAGAATCACCTAACAAGTTGCATTCCTCATTAAGGAGGCATTGATGTTCCAGATGTTTAAGATTTTTCAGTGAATGCCACAGATAAAGRTTTCTGACCTGCAATAACTGTTACTTAAGGAAAGATAGAGAATAATAAATATTTTTWAAAATTGTTTATTCTGACTTATTATACATGATGGCAGAATGCATTTCAATTCATAGTACACATATAGAGCACAATTTTTTCACATCTCTGGTCGTATAAAGTAGAGTCACACCATTCATGTACTTGGGGTAATGATGTTCATCTCATTCCACCATCCTTCCTACCCCCATGTCTTCCCCTTCCTCCCCCTTTGCCCTATATGAAGTTCCTTCATTCCTCCCGTGCTCCCTCACTACACCCATTATGGTTCAGCATCCACATATCAGAGAAAACATTTGGCTTTGGTGTTTTGGGATTGGCTAACTTCACTTAGCATGATATTCTCCAACTCCATCCATTTACCTGCAAAAGTCATGGTTTTATTCTCTTTTATTGCTGAATAATATTCCATTGTGTATATATACCACAGTTTATTTATCCATTCATCTACTGAAGGGCATCTAGGTTGCTTCCACAGCTTAGCTATTGTGAATTGTGCTGCTATATATATTGATATGGCTGTGTCCCTGTAGTATGCTGTTTTTAAGTCCTTTGGATATGACAGAGGAGTGGGATAGCTGGGTCAAATGGTGGTTCCATTACAAGTTTTCTAAGGAATGTACTGCTTTGCATATTGGCTGCACCAATTTGCAGTCCCACCAGCAGTGTATGAGTGTACCTTTTCCCCCACATCCTCTCCGACACTTTATTGTTGTTTGTATTCTTAATAGCTGCCACTGTGACTGGAGTGAGAAGAAATCTTAGAGTTAGTTTTGATTTGTATTTCTCTAATTGCTAGAGATGTTGAATATTTTCTCATATGTTTGTTGATTGATTATATATCATCTTCCTAGAGGTGTCTGTTCATTTCCTTGGCCCACTTATTGATTGGGTTATTTGGTTTTTATTTTTTATTTTTTTGGTGTTAAGTTTTTTGAGTTCTTTATATATCCTAGAGATTAGTGCTCTGTCTAATGTGCCTGTGGTAAAATAAACTTGTAGATGAAAGAAATTAAAGGGATACGGATAGGGATTCCCTATGGTTCAACATTCAGAAATCGATAAATGTAATTCATCACATCAATACAATTAAAGATAAGAATCATATGATCATCTCAATAGATGTAGAAAATACATTCAACAAAATACAACACCCATTCATGTTCAAGACTAGAAAAACTAGGGATAACAGGAACATATTTCAATATTGTAAAAGTTGTCTATGCTAAGCCCCAGGCCAACATCACTTTAAGTGGAGAAAAATTGAAAGCATTCCCTCTAAAAACTGGAATAAGACAGAGAACAATAAATATAATAAACAGTGAACTACATAGTCTGTCAGAAAGGAAACGAGGAGCCAATCAGGTATACTGCAGTTCAGGGAACRTGCGGACAAACGTGGGTTGCAATTTGAACATGAGTGTGTCAGGAGGCTTCACTGAGGTGATGTCTCAGTAAAGAAGCTGAGAACATAATGAATGCACCTTGACCTGAAAACACGGTTTGGGTTTCCGCTTGGTTCACAGGAAAGGCAGTGAACTTATTCTCTTAGTCCTCACTAGGAGTAGGTGGGTGGCACCAAGAGCTCTGAGGGATGTCAAGTYAGGTCATGTGTGTTTCTGCCCTATGGAGTTTCAGGATAAACTAAAGATCAGGATAAACTAAAGGCGGCAAATGCAGGACAATAATTCTGCCCTGTACTCTTCATTTCTGTTTTGTTGATGTTTAGTYCGCATTTCCCACTCATTCTCCACATTTGCTTCTTCTCAGAAAATGAGTTACTTGGTGGTAACCTAGATTTCAGGTGAAATGAAGATGGGAGGTGGTGACAGAGAGGGTCAGCAGCAGTGGGTTAAAGGAATGAAAGGAAAGGTTGAATTCACAAAAGGGGCTGATGATTTGGAACTGAATTTTACACAATTCCGCTGGCTTTCCTTGCTGAGAGTTTTCATGCTGAAAACAAGCTGCTCATTAGCTCTGTCTCTCAGGTATGGCAACAGCTCCAGGAACTATGCTGTTCGGGTTGGGGATTATCATACTCTGGTGCTGGAGGAGTTTGAAGAAGAAATTGGAGTGCAGCAAGTTGTGGTGCATCAGCAGTACCGACCAGACAGCAGTGACCATGACATCGCCCTGGTCAGACTGCAAGGACCAGAGGAGCAGTGTGCCAGACTCAGCAGCCATGTTCTGCCAGCCTGTTTGCCACTGCAGAGAGAGCGGCCACAGAAGACAGCCTCCAACTGCTACATAACAGGCTGGGGAGACACAGGTAATATAAGCTCACRGAGAAACAGACAAGAAGGCTGGCTTGTCTGCTATTATCCAGTCGGCAGGAAGATTGTAAATGGGTTCAGGCTTAGCTGCTTGGGAATTCTTAGGCGTGAAATGTTTGCATGTAATCTAGATTCATTTTTAAGAGTACTGTTAGTTCCAATGAGAATTCAAACTGAGAGAACTCAGTTGCTAGTGGGCCTTAGGAGTGAAGAATATCCTTATCTGACTGGTGAGAGGACAAGGGAAGAGATTTCAATACCATACCCCACGATTTAGGCCACGTAGTCTATTTTAAAAAGCTCCCCATGACAATGATGTATTTGGCCTAGCGAAAGGATCTGGTGTTAAATAGTTTCTTTATCAAGCTAAGTATAGATGAGACAAAAGCAGAGGTGCCAAGTGGAGGCTGAGATTAAGGAAATACACTTTCTCCCTCATCCTTCTTTCCCATTCTCCTCACTTGCAACCCCAAAGCAAGAATCGTGTTCAGCTGGATCCTTCTATGAATACAGCCCTTGGCCTTGTCTTGCCTAGAGTTTAGGCACTGTCAGCTAGTGCTTGCTCAGGATAGGCCTTGAAACAGCCATCAGTCTCACTAGGGTCAAGATACAGGCCTTCTCAATGTACTGTGCTGATCTCTAAGCACATCTCATCACTGAGGACCAAGTCCATTACTTCATAAGGGAATCGGTCCTTTGATATCACATCTGAAGTAGAAATGACCAAGGAAGTAAATTTTATATGGTGGGTTTTTTTTTTTTTTTTTTTTTGTGTGTGTGTGTGTGTCCTAGTTATTCCAATTTAGTTAACTGGATAAGAGAATATGATGAAATCTATATTCAAACTAGGATAACAAAGAGGACTTTATCTACCATACATTTAAGCTACTGAGCAAAGTAATGAATGGTTTATCAACAAGCAGAGTGCACTGCACCAGGTGTAAACTATGTATGGAGAACAATGTGTGGTTTTTTAGCTGAATCCTTATACAATGCCATATTCCCATTTAGCACCTTATATTTTATATTATTGCATTTATATTTAATCCTCAAATTCAGTGAAGTAGGTGATTCTTAAATGTGCTAAAGCAAAACCAGCATGAATTTAGCTTTTTATTATACGGAATTCAACAACTAAAGCCCACATGAATGTGCTTTCTCCAGGTTACCTTTCTGTGCTACCAAACTCAGAAATGTTACTCATTATTCCTCAAAAATTCAGTCCGTGTGAAGGTTAAGTGCTGACAATCAGAAAGGCCTCTAATGACATTACATGCCACTTATAGTTATCACTCACTTTGAACTATACCAATGTCACAACAGGGGGTTGTTTTGGAGACTATGAAATGTTCATTAAACTTGATTGGTAGCTGGATCTCCTTGATTAATATGGATATTTGGTCTGAGTAGGACGAGCCTATTCAAGGACACTACAACAAGCAGCCATCCCTGTACTTCCCAAGAGGTTTTGTGAAGAACGGTATAAGGGTCGGTTTACAGGGAGAATGCTCTGTGCTGGAAACCTCCAGGAACACAGACGTGTGGACAGCTGCCAGGGAGACAGCGGGGGACCACTCATGTGCAAGAGGCCTGGAGAAAGCTGGGTTGTGTATGGGGTGACTTCCTGGGGGTATGGCTGTGGAGTCAAGGGCTCCCCTGGTGTTTACACCAAAGTCTCAGCCTTTGTACCTTGGATAAAAAGCATCACTAAACTGTGATTCTGGAAACCTCAGAACAAATAGTATTAAAAGGAACTTATGAAAAACTTTTAACCTCAACCTGTAAACCAGATGACAACTGTGAGGGTTTCATGTTCCTTGATATTTGTTTATAGAAACTGTGTACCTTTGCTGATTTTGAGACTTTGTGAAGTTTTGATTCAGATACCTCAGTATTATCTTTAGCATTGTTACCTACCCAAATTTTACCAAAGTAAACTTTCTCTTAGCTTTTTTTTTGGTAGCAGGTACTTAACCCAGGGATGCTTAAACACTGAGCCACATCCCTAGCCCTTTATTTTTTTGAGACAGGTCTTGCTAAATTGCTGAGGCTGGCCTTAAACTTGGCATCCTCCTGCCTCAGCCTCTGGGATTACAGACATGTCTCACCACACCTTAACATTCTCTAGATTATTTTCAATAAAGATGTTTTACATTTGCCTGGACTAAGTCCTTATGAATTTCAGCATAATGTATGGAATCAAAGTACCCACATTTGATCTTAAAGGTACCCTTTACTAGAATGTCCAATGAAGTGATCTGCTACAAAGACACTTTGTTAAGAACCAAGCAACAAACACAAGAGGAAAAATGTTCTATATGTAAGCTACTAGCAAATTATGAATTTTGGACAACATGAAAAATGCTAGTTGAATATACAACTGATTTACTGGATATGTTAACTCGCTCAAACAACCTTTAACAACCACATCAGATCTGTAACTTAGTAAATTGTTTCTCAGTTTTAGGCTCAAAGTTTTCTGGATTGTGTTGGTCGAGTGCCACCTACTGGAACTTTCCCAATAATTGGCTTCACCTGTGGGTTTCAAAATTCTGGTACAATGCAACCTATTAAAAATAAATACACCAATAAAAATGCTTTTCCTACCTATTGTGCTATTAAAAACCTACTTCAATCACACTACAATTAGTGGCTATACAATAGCTTAAAGACCAATAAGATTTTACAGAGGTCCTCATTTTCAAATGAGGAAAACAGGCTGCTGCCAAGATGAACTAGTTTGTGCACTTTAATAATTCAAAGTGCAAAAATAAAATGAAATCCAGTGCTGCTTTTATCTCAACTAAAGGCAAGTTTCCTGCTAGCTTTCCTGGAAGGTGAGACAGATGTAATGTCCTTACAGGACATCCTTATTAACACCAAATCTTYGCCTACACTCCTAGTTTAGAATAATCCTCTTAAATGGCTGCCATGGTGAAATAACTATTTCCCTTCTGCAATCAAATCATATGCCCCCTTTTGCAAAAACTGATGCAAACCTACAGGTACTTCATCACTTTTCAGATTGTAACACCTGCCAGAACAGCCTTAACAACTTTCTAAAAGGTGCTTGTTTTTAAACACAAAACTTGTACTTGTGAACAATKAAAATGCACAAAACACCCAGGAGCAATTCCAACTCCTGAGCCACATGCCCATCTGCAAACATCACATTAGGGCAATGCAAGTGCCCTGGCTCCACTTCCAGTCCAGTCACCAGCACCCTGCACCCTACACAATCGGGTGTCATCTCTGCCTCTCTGGAAGTGGTCCATATTCTACCCTGAAGGTTTTTCTAAACAGGCCTGTCAGCCTGACTGGCACATTCTGATATGCCAAGAATCCCACTGCTTAAGATTCCCCTCTCCAGGACCTTTCTTCAGGGATATTTCTTATGYGATTAACTATACCTGGCACACCTTGCACAAAGGCTTAGGACAATGTGCATTACAGCTGAGAAAGTAACCCAATCCTGTAGCGAACCTTTTTAACCACATTCCCTTTGTAACCTACAATGATGGTGCAACAAGTTTTAAACAGACAAGGAAACCATAAATTTAGAGCAGTGAACACATGGCCTGCAGTTTGCCCAATTCTGAAGTAGAACCCATGCTGATTTTTTCTTAGGAGAGACTAGCCACAACTCCAGCCCCTAAGGGGGATTTTTTWAAAAAGTTTGGGTATTCAGTAAATAAAGCACAAAACATGTACAGTTGCCTAAATCTTTTGTGTGATACAAGACACTGACCTCTCTCTTGGGGGTAATCTGATAATGTTTATGTACAAATTTCCCTCAAATGCTATACCCAGTCTCTGCACAGTGAACAAAGTATTCTATCTCTTCACTGTTAATTCAATTCAGACAAGTAACAGCGAGTAGTCATGYGAGCCATTTTATTCAATCATACCAAGGATGCATCTGAAATACAAAATTCAAAATAATTCAGACTCATATTATAAGTAGTGCCCCGATAGTTTCCAGAATGTTACTCAAAATACCCATTCCCCAACTAAAATTTAGGTTCGGTGATCCACTGCAAGATGCTGCTTAGGCCTTTACCCACCGTCACTCTGGATTTCTTGACGTCTGCAAGAAAAGAAAACCAGCATTGTAGCAATGAGGTAGCAATTCAGGTATTCCTAGTTACTCTTAACGTTGTAAAAAGCCAGCACAACGAGCAGACTTTAGCTTTTCAGCAGCCGCGATAAAGGATTTCAGACTAACTCGGAAACTCTATAAACGTCAAAGCACCGGGTCACGGTTTCTGCCGCTCATCAGCGGGGCGCTGTTTCCTGTAGGATTTGAACAACGGTTCAGGGAAGCCTGCCTAACAACCCGTCATCCTCCCGGTTTTAGTGAAGAATGTCACTTGTGCAAGTCAGAATCTGATACCAATTAAATGGTGACAGCTTTGCCAATAAACAAGAACATGCTCTTCCATGGCTAGGAAGGGAGACTGCCACGGCCGACAGGTCCCAAAGACACATGGAGGTTCGGCGCAGGCGCGCCGGCAGCACCCACCCCAGGCCCGCCGCCGCCGCCTCGCGACTCCCCCACACGCCTCCGCAGACGCGGTCCCCCAGCACTCCCACCTCGGCACGAGCTGTGGCCAGTTACGAGCTGGGCGACCAGGACGATGCAGATACAGCACCCGAGACGACGCCTGACGAAAAAGGGCGAAACTCGCCGCGCACGCGCTCTTATGGAGCCGTGACGCACCGGAAGTGCCACGGGGGCGGGAGGATCGCCGGATCCAGGTTCCCGTGCGTGCCCGAGAGCCAACAGTTGTCGCGAGACTGTGAAATCCTGTCGCGGCTTGCGGTCAGAGCAGGGCCATCGCCGGGGCCAGGCTTCTGCGCATGCGCGAGACCAAGACATTCTCGCGATACCGTGAAATCCCGCCCTGAGGAGCGCGGGGTCACAGAATAAAGTGTGGCGTAGGTTGACCTCAGGTGGTTGGTTTCGGAGTCACCTTTGCCCCCAGGATGTCTTCTGTGAGGCGACCTTGCTTTTCGAGGTCCTCTTGTGCGTTTGCCACCACTCTTCCCTCCGCTGGAGCGCCAGCGTCCACCCGACTGTCCCCGGTGGGCGCCCAGGGTCAGGGTGGGAGTTAACGGAGCTGAGGCCTCCGGAAACCGAGGCGCCGTGAAGACCTGCCCGCCCCCAACCTGATCGTGTGACCAAGTCAGAAAGGTCCCGGACACGTTGCTCAGGGCGACGGGCGTGAGCTCCCTGGAGGGCTGCGGAAGGGCCACGCTTGRGGGAGTGGACTGCCCCGAGAGGAGCGGACAGCGTGCCCCTCCTGCAGTCCAGCTTCCCCGGGCAGTTGCCAGAGRGCCCCGCCAGGCCCGCCGCTCCTCTGACTGACCGCTGGGCCACGCCGGGCCGAGGTCCCACCGTCCCGGCCGCCTGGGCGTCCTGGCCCCTGCTGCGGCCCTGATGGGAGGCTCTTGCCGCGTAATTGGAAGTTGACGTAGCCTGTCCCGTTAGGCCACCCAGGGCTGCAGGTCACCTGCTGCTTGGAAAAGAAGCACAGTGGGCCCATTTTGTAGATTTATTCCCTTAAATTCTTGTTCTCACCTGTCTGTCACGTATCAGAAGGAGAAAGAGGTATGAAGTGCCCAGAGTCCATCCACCTGCTGTCTGTCCCTTGTGTGACACTGCCCACCGAGGTTGGCAGCGCAGGCAGGAAGCTGCCCCCTGTGCCCTTTGCTCTGTGAAGGTTGGGGATCTCAGCATAGGTGGGGGCAGAGAAAGGGTCATCAGCCTAGGACCGCTGTTGTACTGCATCTGAGCTTACCAAATTGTAGTATTTTCCATCTTATTTTTCTCTGACAGAAAGCACAAAAGAGGATCATTTGAGGCAGCACTTTGCAGCACTTGCTGGTAGGGAAAAGGGTTCAATAACTAGGAGAGTGCCCTAGCGATCTGCAGAAACTTCATGCGGTCCCTGCCTTACCATGTGGGGAAAGAATTCAGTCAGCAAAAACTGCTTTTAAGGTAAGGGTCAGAATAGACAAACTTAGCTAAATTTTACCTTGAATGCAGTGCCTATAAGGTTCACTGCATTTCACCCTTACTTTCTCTGACTTCGTCTTCACTCACCTCATCTTGCTAATGAGCTGAAAGAAGTCTTCAATCACAAGGCTTAAATACTGCATTGTAATAAATGATGCACTTTGCAAGTTTTGCCAGATTTCATCTTATTTATATTCCAAATAACAATTTACATTAGTTTGCTAGGGTTTTCCTAATAAAGTACCACAGAATGGGGGTTTAAAGGACCCAAACTTAGGAGGATGCTGGGAGCCCAAGACCAGGTTTCCATGTTTCTCCTGAGACCTCTGTCCTTGGCACATAGATGTAGTCTTCTCCCCCTGTCTTCAGATGGTTTTCTTTTTGTGTCTCTCTGCTTGAGTCAACTTTTCTTAAAAAACACTGGTCATATTTGATGAGRGCCCACACTAATGGTGTCATCGACCCTTAATTACCTCTTTAGGACCTTGTCTTTAAACACAGTCATATTCAGAGGTAGTAGGAGGTTAGGATTTCAAAATAGGGGTTTTGGAGAGCCTGATTAGCCATAACATTATACATTTGTGATAAACCATAAAGTTCTTAACTGAAGATTTTAAGTGAATGCTTCCCTTGGGTCAGGTGTCCATATATGTGCATGTATGGCACATGTCCAGACTTTGGACTAAAGCTTATGTGTTGTCTGAAATTGAACTTTAAAAACTCTGCCCTTTTCTACCCCCATATTTTGAATATGCTAATTTCTCCATCTTCTGTGCCTTTCTGTCTATTCTCATCTGTCCAGATTCTGTTCTACTTTCAGTGCTTTGCCCAAAGATTGCTTTTCTTTGAAAATATTTACTATTCCACCTGAATTTATTTTTTACTTTTTTGGTATATGGTAGCACTTGTATTTTCTTGTATGTTTACCATGAACTTGTTGTGGTGCTTAGCATGTATATATGAAATTTTTWAAAAATTACTTTTCATCTTGAAAAATAAATAATTTTTACCTAGAAGGTGGAATTTAATCCCCCTTCCCTGTAACACCACCTTGAGTGTGGTCTGTGCTATGTAAATCTCAAAGGGTATAATGAGAAAAAAGGAAGAAAGCATAACATTACAGTGAAGGAAAATGACACATACCACTTGGTGATCAATGGTAAGTTGTGGTGATGGTGTGTCCTCTGATGTGATGTGAGAACACTTCACCTTTCTCTTTGTTTTTCTTCCTCAAAGTTCATACCCTAGCCTAAACTGTGAGAAGAAATTGGGATTATTGATGGACATTTTATAAGTTATCTAATCATCATTCAACACAAAAAAAGACAAGAAAAATAGGAAGGTGCTGGGCATGGTGGTGCACACCTGCAATCCTAGTGGCTCCAGAGGCTGAGGCAGGAGGATCGTGAGTTCAGAGCCAGCCTCAGCAATGGCAAGGTGCTAAGCAACTCGGTGAGACCCTGTCTCTAAATAAAATACAATATAGGACTGGGGATGTGGCTCAGTAATCAAGTGCCCCTGAGTTAAATCCCTAGTACCTCCCCTTTCAAAAAAGTAGGATGTTGTCACACCAAAGGGAGTGATACCTAGCAACTAAATGTAGTATCTTGGCTGAAATCCTCAAACAGAAATGATGTTAATGATAAACTAGTGAAATCTGAATAAAGTGTGGAATTTACTTAAAAGTAGTGTGCCAATGTTGATTTCATAGTTTTGACAGGTATGGTGTACTATGATAAGATATTAACAGTAAAACAAATTGGATAAGGGTGTTAGATTAGGCAGAAGGACATTAGCAGGAGGGTCTGAAAGGTAAGAAGACAGATTGAAAGGTATACTTGGCTGCTGGGCAAGGGGAAGAGCTCATCTTTGAGGCCCTCATCTCGCTCTGTTGGAACTTGTACCTTCCTTTTAAAGTAGAGGGAATGGATGATTGTGCAGGCAGGGTTATAACCTTGACCCTAATGGATTTTTCAAACCGGACCACCTTCTCTAATAAATCCCTCAGTCTCTACAATGATACTTATAAAAGGTTCCATGAAACTTGCCACTTTGATGGGATAGCTGTTACTTAATTTGCAAAAGGTAATTCATGGACAAAGGACTTTCCAAGACTATAAAGGAAGTTTGTCAATCATATCACCTTTGGGCTCAAATTATCCATTAAATATCAGACTTCTTTCCCTTATTCCACTGTACAATGCTGAGGAACTTACCCAGGGGTGGGCTGGCAAGTAGATAGTACCTATTTACCCTCTTGCAAAGGACATTAATTCCTACTGGTTTGTGGATCCCTTCACAAAATGGATGGGAACTCTTCAACTCAGATGGAGCATGTCCTGAAGATCAAGTCTTCCAAAGTGATAATGGACCCTCTTTCATATCTCAGTTCACTCAACAAATGACCAGAGTCCTGGGCATTAAATAACTATCTTCATTCTTCCCAGGTAAATGTCAGGAAACTTTCATGTCTTGGGCGGAAATCCTCCCTGTGGCTCTTCCATGTTCCCAAGGCCTATCTTTAACTCTGTCCCTTTGAAATGCCATGTCGCAGAACTTTCCAATTCTCTGACTTATTGAACTTGAAACCATCAATATAACACAATATACAACTTCCCTAAATCAATTCTAATAGATCATCCAGGACTGTGGACACCAGGAAGATGGAAGGGAATAGCCCCTGCCTTATGCACACTTGGGAATTGAGTTCTAGATCTCCAGGATGTCAGTTAATTCTTTGCAAGGGCCCTTTGATTGTTCTTTCTACCCCTGCAGCAATAAAGGTGCCTGGTGTTGCTAGCTAGATTCATTACTCTTGAGTCAAATCCACACTGAGGACAGCGTACCCAGAGGAGGTGTGGATCCACAAAAGGGGAGTTGTGAACAAATAGAGGACCTAAAATACATCTTCAAGAGGAGGCCCATGGATGAGCAGCTCCCAAGCTAGTTATCTCCTCTCTTGATGACCTATTAATCTTGATTTTTCTCAGATGAGTAATGTGTGGACACCAGTACAGAATTTGACCATAATACCAGTGGCCCCCCATTCAAGAATCTTACTTAGACTTTTTAACAGTTAGGCTTTACATCTTATCTATCATCCCCAAACCTAAAATGTTCCTTTATAGATCTGTTTTTTCTCTATGCAGGTAACTTCTCAAGCRGGGATACCTACCCACCCTACCTGCCAACTGTGGAGGAGAGCTTAAAACTCTTAAGTAAACTTTATTCCTTTGTAGTCTTTTGTGCTTGTTGGATATGGGCCCATTGATGTCCCAGCCTCTCCTGTATTCTGGGGGATGCTTCTCACTTGTATGGCATATAAAATTATATATATACAGATGGCTAGAACCCAACTAGGTCTCAAAATGGTATAAATATGGAACTTCTGACAAATGTTCAACCACCCATGAATATGTCTGGGGAACAGCCTTCTCCCAGGTGCAACTCAGTGTACTGCTTCCCTTCCGCCTCAGGTCTCAGCCACAGGGACAGTCAAGGGGCTCCATCAGCACTTATTGTGAAACCAACCCTAACTCTTGATTCACCACAGAATTAGGCCATGGTTCTGGAAGATTTTCCTGGGGTTGAATGGTAGAACTCCCGAATCTCACATTGTAAGGTACAGAGTTGTCCTACATAAGCACTACAATCTGCCTGTTAACTAAAAAAAACACAGTTTCTGGGCCCAACTTTAAAATTAAAAAGTAGAAAATTGCAAATAATCTTTCCTGTGGTGGGGGTAGGGTGAAATTCT